TACGTCAACATGGCTGTGCCGACGTTTGTAGACCTGCAAGGATTTGTAGTCGGAAAAAGATTTATTGTCAAGGAAGTAGCGGTATTGCGAAAGGGCACTGTTTTCTCGCATTACATTTTTGGAAGTCTCTTCCCGTGGAGTCTATTCGCAAGATCAGACAGATCAGCAGCTTCTTGGCTGATGATGTATCATCATGGTCTGCGTTGGAAGGATGGAAGTGTTGCATACCGCAAAGCAAAGAATTTGATTACAACAGCTATTTGCGGCACCGCAGAAAATGATGACAACGCGTCTTTACTCGTCTATGTTAAAGGTCCCGAAAAATGTAACTGGCTAGCTGATATTCTTGTTAGTGACGTACGACATGGATTAATTATTAAAACATTGGATGCCGATTACGACGATATTGCTTCTATAAAGAAACTGAATGTATTGAATTGTCTACGTTGTGAAAAACATGTGAAACATTGTGCATTACAAAATGTATTTATAATATTTAATTGGTGGTCTAAACGACAATAAACTGTTATACAAAACAACTTTGTACATTTACTACCCTTCTTCTCCATAGCATATGTTTATATAAATTAACGCGGTTTAACATGGTTTCATAACTGAACGCGGTTTGTTTATGGTTCGATTATAGTTAAACGTGGTTCAATTATGGATGAACGTGGTTTGTTTATGGTTCAATTATGGTTGAACGTAGTTTGATTATGGTTGAACGTGGTTCGATGTTGGTTAAACGTGGTTCAATTATACTTGAAAATGGTTTAATTATAATACGACCAAGATTGAACGTGGTTTGTTTTGCTGTTAATTTGTGGTTACACACGGTTCAAGTATTATTGAACATGGTACAATCGGGATTAAACGTGGATTGATTATGTTTNGTTCGACATATTCTTACACATATATGTGTGATTATATTATGTTTCGGAACGCGGTGCNAAGCGAAGCGAGTAAGACGAGACAGTTGCAGAATTCCAATTTCATATCATATGTGTAGAACGCAGTGCAAATCAAGACGAATATGACTAATTGTAAGTTGCAAAGGTTGTTGGCAAGAAATAACAATGACGAAGTATACATATTTTACTACTTAATCTAGTTCTGTGTATTGAGAGAAAATCAGAGTTGGATTAGACAACAGGTTGTAATAAAGAAATCATTTGTACAAACTAATTCATTTATTATACACTTATATAGACAACGTTATAAAAATAAGCAATTTATAATACGAATATAACAACATATAAAACTACTATAACAATAAAAAGTAGCACATTCTGCTGCAATATGCTAGTATCTTCGTTCGATTTCTCGTCTGCTTTTTGTATTTCTTCGGGTNAATTAATTGAATTGTTCCGTGTATAATATTTTCCGTTGATGACTGTGTTTATGTAATCGCGTCCTTTGCAAACAATCAGAAACGGACAATATTCAAACCACTTTGCATGTTGCTCCCAGGGAACATTTTCCGGATTCCAATCTCTCAATCCTCCTCCGCAATAATAACACAACGTCTGATCAGCTCTCTCCGTGTAATAAAATTCAACATTTGCAAGATCTCGTTTTGTTTGTTTTGATGATTTTGACCATGCTTCAAATGTATTGATTCTTGCTTCATAAGTGCCAAATTGTGGATATTTCGGTTTTGACAATATTTTGTTTAACATTCCAATGTCCTCGGTAACATNATCCAAATCGGAAACGGACATAAAACACGTGGATTTTTTGTCTGCTTCGTCCATATTTTTCGGAATTGTGCTAGAATCCACACCAATGGCTACGTTGCCGTAGGATAAGTTTTCAACAAATTGACATCGTCTGGACCACCGTTGATGATCGGCCAGTAGATTGTCATTCGTTTCCCATTTGCTTATTTCAAGTTTACATTCGAAACATTTCACCTTATCTTCTTCGCCCGTGTAATAGAATCCAGCTGCTGCCAGTCTTTCCGGTGTTATCCACGAGCATGGCCAATTTCTTTAAAACTGGCTAATCGAACAGATTTGTATCTATATTCTTCTTGACAGTTTTCCGGAATACAAGCCATTCTGATGAATATACAATTCTCTTTTTTATCCCTATAAACTGATGGTCAAACGCGAACTTCGAGCTCTTCAATACTACTGCCCCCACCGTTTCTTTCAATTGAATTGGACAAAGATAGTCCCTTCTCCATTGAAATTGTGATTAATTAGCAAAAAAACGAATGTTTACTTTATGCATATTGTAATTTTATATCTTTGCAACTTACACGTTTTTAGNATTGTAATTTTATATCTTTGCAACTTACACGTTTTTAGTGCATCATCGCATTGCACATATCAGCACAATTCTCTTTATCTCATAGCACAGTATTGGGACAAGACATGAAGGAATAAATTTCTCATTTATTTAATATTTTATTTAGTNTATTATGTACAGTACAAAAAGCGCACAAATATATTTTATTCTTTGCTACCATCGCTTGTTTACAAAAACTTCACTTTCTGCTTGCAACAGATGTCTATTCTCCATAAATTCCGGTATACATGCTTTGCAGTTATAAGCTGGTCCATCGATTTTAAACAGTAGTTTAGCGCATGTCATACAGTGCATTGCCCACGGTAGAAAAAATAATGTGCTGTACAGGGAATGCGTATCCGTGCATACAACGAATAAATCCATTGGTCCTTGTCGTTCGTAACATTCCAAACATATTCGTCGTCGTGGTATGCGTTGCTCCAGATAGAACACTCGCACCTCTGGATCGGCAATATGGAGACAAACACAATGGAGCAGATCGTGATAGGTCTCTGGATGATCTATTGGTCGAACACCATCGATCGAATCAAAATAATCCTCTCCTTTTTCTATTTCGTTCCATTCAGCTTCTGGTGGCAACTTCATAGTCTAANCAGCATAGACAGACATATACCATTAGATAAATAGCAATTCATCAGATACAAACAAACGCAAATATGTATCAAATTCGGTACTTACGTTATGAAATTCTTCAGTAGTTTCTTTTTATAAAACTGTGTAGTTAGAATCGATTGATGTGCGAACGTNAGATAGGATTTCTTAAATACTAATTACCCCACCGCTTTATCTCATTTGATTGGACAAGAGATAGCTCCTTCTCCAATAACGATTTTGATTATTTAGCAAAAAACAAAAAAAATGATATTTCGATGCTAAACTACATAGAAGTATACATTTGCGCGTTTTCGGCACGTTTGTATGTAACATGATCAATAGTGATGACTAGCATGATGAGAGCGAGAGATGNTGTCTTGATGTAACAAGATGCAAAAAAAAACAAGACATTTAGATGTTTTAACCGCATACGTATAAATTATCTGCAATTAAAGCTATCGAAAAAACACGTGTTCCAATTCTACATTCGCGAGGTTTGGACTTGGTTAGGTGGCGTGCGAGAGCACAGACACGGAGGCGAGAACGTGCGACAAAATAAAGATTAGCTAGACAAAGAGAATAGGAAAGCAAACATAAGTAGTAGAAATAGACGCGGAAGATAAAGAAATAGGAGGGATAATAAAGGCAAGGTGATCGAACGGAAGAGGGAAGAAAAAACAGAAAGGAAAAGCAGACGGGAGATAAGAGATTATGGCG